GGGCACGAGACAACCTGGCGCTGCGAACAACCTCAGACAGACTTCCCGTCCCACCCCGTGTGTCCTAGGAGCCGTGCTTTAGGGTGTGGCCGTGCCTCCGGTCAGCGCCGTCCTCCCAGGGCTGGACTGCTACAACTTGGAGCCCCCTGCCACGCCTGGTGCTTGCGAGCCCTTAATCCTGAGAGGAGGCCCCCCCGTGCCACGATACCCCTGAGGGTCAGCACACAGCTGCCTCCCGGGCTCCTGGAGGGACCGCCATCTCAGCAGCCGCGTCCTGCTCTGCTGGGTCTGTGTCCTCGGCTGTTCACAGCTCAGCTGCCGGCGGGGGGACACCCCTCCACCTTCCATCGACAGGAACAGAGATGAAGACGGGACCCGGAGGAGGATGGCTGGCCCCACCGGGGAGTCACAGCCCGGGCTCCCACCACCGGGCACAACGTCCCAAAGGGCCTTCATCTGGGCTCCGCACTGCGCAGGGGGGAAAAGTCAGAGCCCCGGGCTCAGTGGGTGGAGTTTTAGATGGTCTCCATCTCGACCTTGACCTCGGGGAAAAAAGGCTTGTCACAGGTGTGGCCTCCCATGCCCCCACCCAGCTCTAAGGGAGGGTCTGGCCGTGAGATCCCACTTCCTTGCTCTGTGGCCTTTGTGTGTCGGGTTTCAGCTGAGGGCCAGGCTCCTGTAGGGCAGCCTCGTTGCCCCAGCGCTGGGGGAGCGCCACAGGCCTGCCGCCCCCAACACGTGTCGTGCAGAGTTGACGGGTGGGGGTCTGGAGGCCCACAGCCATGGCCAGCCTCTCCCTCTGCCCTGGAGGCAGGCACCAGCCTCCTCTGCACGTGTCGCCTCCTGTTGAACTACGGGCCCGAGTGGCCGGCAGGCAGCAGGGTGCAGAGACCCCCGGCGGGCCACCTTCCAGGCACGGTGGGACTCAGCAGCCCCCAGCCGGGTCATGGGGCTTCCCGCGTGGTGCCTTTGGCTGGTTGGCTGTTTCAGGAGAGCTTATTTGGACAGGAGGCCCTTTGACAAGAGCAGGGTCAGGGGTCTGGCTCCGTCCAAGCCAGTCGCGTGGGCCCTGCTGCCCGGCTAAGGCCCTTCGGCCCCACTGTGGCCAGCAGTGCCGCGTCTGGTCAGCAGAATGGCCGATCATCAGGGTCCCCTCACGGTCCTCTCCTGTCCCCTCCTGGCCCCCCACAAAGGCGGCTTGTGTAGAATCCAGTAAACATGGGGTCACCTCAGCCATAGCTTGATCTTGAAACAGACCTCAGGTAGTCGAACTCTGTTGTTCTGTGTATCTTATTTTGAAAATGTAGTGGAAAACCACTGCTGATAGTAAAACGATGGAAAATTTGAACATACAGATTTTTAAAAATACGAACTCAAATCCCAGCTCACTAAGTAAAAGCATTATCCTTTGTATGTAAATTTCCCCATGTAAATGCACCCATCGTTTTACAGAAACAGGCTAAACCTAGGTGTCCAGTTCCCTCGCGCCATCCCGTTTGCTGTGCTCCCCCAGCCCTCCACGCCCACCTGTGCAGGTCCTTCTCCCAGGTCGTGTGGGGCTGTGTCGGTCTGCAGACGGAGTCTCGGGTCAGCCATCTCCTCTATCTGCCCTTTCTTGCAGCCGAATCTTCACCCCCTGTGGCTGCAGAAAGAATGATGCCAGCATTTCCTGAGGCTTGCTCAGAGCTTTAAATTACTGTGTCTAATATTCCAGCTAACCTAGAAGCTGGGGGCCGCGGTGGCCCCATCTCCTCATCCCTCCAGGGCCTGTGTCTTCACGGCATGATTTCCAAAGTCTCGGGAACCAGGGATTCATGTTTTGTCTGGTATTCAGGTGTTCGGGTGGAGGGTAAATCCAGTGCCTGTCGCTCGACCGTGGTCGGGGCAGAAGTCCACGGCTCGATGGCATAACCCGTCCAGGGTCGCACGCTGAGAGCTGAGGGCACATCAGCCCGGTGCTGACCCCCGAACGTACACGTCCAGGTCGTGCCCCCCCTGAGCCCCTGGTCGGCCTCCCCCAGGTCTCGTGCTCCATCCCTTCTCGCGGCATCTCTGTCTAGCCAGTCGCGGAGGCCGGAAACTCTCTCATCCTCTTCCTTCGCGCCCTTCAGCCCCGGAACCCACTAGTCGTGTAGGTAGAGGGGGAGTAACGCCCACCGTGTGCACGTCCTAATCCCCGGAACCTGCGAATACGTTGCCTGCCTTGGCAAGGGACAGGGAACTAGAGACGGAAGACGGTCCTGGGTACCCTGCGTCAGAGTCAGAGAGAAGCGAGAGGACTGACCGCCTGCCCTGCTGGCTGTGAGGCCGCAGGCCTGTGAACTGGTGACTCCGTGCTGGTTAGGGCCCTGGGCTCGCGGTCACTCGCTGGTGCCTCCCCTGGGGACGAGGTGGTGGGGACGCACACGGCCCCCAGCAGGGGCTGCCGGGCACTGGCCGGCTGGGTGACTGTGAGCCACGCACCTCCTGCCTTGGGCCTGGGTTCCCTCATTTTGTGAAGTGGTGACAGAAAGCAGCACCTGCCTACGGGCGTTTCTGCGGAGTAAATGCGTTATTCCCGGCCAAGTGCTCAGAGCAGAGCCTGGTCCCTGGTGAGCTCTGGGTGGGGGTGGCCGCTGTTATCCCTGCTCTTACCCTCCTTACCCACGGCCTCCTGCGCATCCAGACCCCCTGTCTCCCTCTCATCACCCTGACTGCCGATCCACGACTGAACGTCCTCGGCAGAGACGTGGGCTGGTGCCCTTCTTACCAGGTGTGTCTTTGGCCTCCAGGTGCCACCCAGGATCCACAGCTGGATCGGGGGGCTCCCGGGGCTCCCCCTGCCCCGGTGCTCCAGCCGCTGCTTCCAACCTGCAAAGCTTGCTTTCTCCTCCTTCTCCCTTCACTGGGTGCTCAAGGAGCTCCTCTGGCCACACCCAGCCTCGGCCTCCGTCGTGTGCTCTGCGGCCCTGCTCTTGCCAGGACCCCGTGTCTGTAACGACCTGCCTGACGCCTGTCCCCCCACCCCAAGGAAACGCCCGAGATCGCAGGCCGTGTCTGCGCCCCCAGCCGGGCCTGGGCTCAGGTGGTCGGCGGATGCCGCCTGCCCGCTCCTTGTCAGCGAGCAGGGAGGGCCCCTCACTTGCTCGAGGGGAGCCGTGGGCCTGGGTGCTGTCTCCCTGGCTGCGGGGCTGTCCCTTCCTGGGGGCAGGCGTGCCCAGCGAGCAGGAGACCCGGAGTCTCTGGGCAGAAAGGGACGTCCCCGCCTTCCTGGCTCCGCAGCTTCCGCACGGCAGCCGCAGGAGCAGGTCTGAGGAGCTGCGTCCCTCCCGCAAGTGCAGAAGCTCGGTGCGCGGGAAGGCGCTCGGGACGTCAGTGGCCTGGGGCGGGGGGGGGGGGGGGGGCGTTCCGTGTGGGTGTCACACATTCTCAGTCTACCAGAAGCTCCGAGTCCCGACGAGGAGAAGCAATTCTGACGTCTGCCTGAGGGGCTGCTGACGGGCTGTGGTCCCCGGGGGACGGGGTTGGGAGGCTGCCTCGGAGACCAGAATCGAGGTTGGAGCTGGTCAGCGATGGGCAAGAATGACCCTCCCGCACAGCAAGAGGGCCCTGAGGCTGTCGGTCCTGCGTGGGTTGTCCTGCCGCCCCAGGCCTGTTCCAGGTGCTTCTCTGCGATTTGTGCTTCAGTGCTCTTTGTGCCCTGAGGACACACACGTGGTGACAGGTCACCTTCCCCACCTGCCCGGGGCCTGAGGGCTCTGCCCAAGGCTGCTGGGTCCCTGTTCCTCCGGGGTCCCTGTCCTGCCCTTGTGGGAGGCCTCCAGGAGGGGAGGACACCCCAGCTCCCTCAGCTTTGAGGTACCCCTGGGTGTCCCCATCTGGGTTAGTTTCCTGGAGCTGCTGTAACAAACCAGGTGGCTCAGAGCGGCAGGCAGTGCCTGCTCAGCGCTCTGGAAGCCAGAGGTCCAAAATCAAGCTGTTGGTGGACCGGCTTCTCATGGGGCTGCTGGAGACCCCACCCAGGCCCCTCCAGCATCTGCTGGCCGCCAGCACCCCACCTCCTTGGCTTGCAGATGAGTCGCCCTCGTGTCTGCTCGCCACCTTCTCACCTCTGGTGTCTCTGTTCTTTTCTGTCTCGTGGGATAATCTCATCTCAGGATCCTTGCCTCATATTACCCCTGCAAAGACCCCGATTCCAAATAAGGTCACCTTCACAGGCACGAGGGCCATGACTCGTGCACTTTGGGGACCAGAGTTCAACTCACCAGGCCACCCAGTACTCTGAGCAGAAAGATGGGATGCCACCTGGGGAGGGCAGGGGCGGCATGAGCCAGTGTGTGGTGAGGGGACTCGGGGGACGATGCCCCTGGCAGGCTGGGTCTACGGGGTTCCCTAAGGATAGCCCAGCATCATCTTGCAGCCCAGAGCCCGCTGCTTGGCCCTCACCCAGCTCACCGTGCACCTGACACTTGGCAGGAACCTCCTGCAAGGGGGCCATCCCTCCGTCGTCTCGCAGAGTAGACCCTTGAAGCTTTGCGCGCCTCGGGTCAGGCAGGAGAGGCAGTGCTTTACATCCTGGCACCCTCTAGCTGCCCCCCGTCCACTGTCAAAGGACCGATTTTCTTTAGCTTTCGGGGACACGGTTTCTAAATAAGCTGACATGTTGGAGCATGAAAGGTTTTGTCGGGATTTTCTCGGCCAGACACAGGAGGAATGAATCCGAGTCCTGAGAATGAAGGCCGGCCACCCCACCGCCTCTTTCCGTGATGGACACGGCACCTCACCGTCCGGGCCAGACGCGGGCCGAGGGGTTTCCTGAGCTGCTGCGGGAGGGACGGGGGTCGCTGGCTGCCAGGCCCCCTCTGGACTGAAGGATGGCTACGAAAGCCGGGCAGTGGGACCCAGGCCGTGGAGGCCACAGAGTCAGGCAGCCGAGGGGGCCAGATGCCCAGACTCCACCGCGGATGCTCCGTACCCCTGGAGCCTGTGTCCACTCACTGTCTCCTCTTGTCTGTTTCCAGGACGCCTCGGCCGGATGCACCCCAGTGGCTGAACAGCAGGGCACAGCTCCCAAAGTCCAGCTGCCCCTCAACGTGTGAGCTGCCGTTTATGTTTTTGGGGTCCCAGCCTTCAGCGCCTCCCCCACCCCCGCTAGCGTGTCCACGTGGGGTTTTCTAGCGTGTCACCTGCTTGGTTCTGTGTAGCTCACAGGAGTGCTGGCGGGGCCGCCTGGCCAGCAGGCTGGTGGGTTCAACATCACTGTCCCCCCGGCATCCGGTACAAGCGGGGGGCGGGGGGGTGTGTCCAGATATTTGATGACACTTTCACTGGCCACCCAAGAAAGGGCCCCAGAGACCCCTGAGGAGGTGGGCCCCGTGGGGCAGAGGGCAGCCAGAGCGGCCGACATCACCAGCTGCCCAGATGGAGCTCTGTGCCCACTGCCGTCCAGCGCACAGCAGCTGCATGTCATCCCCAAATCGAGCCAGATGAACCGTTGCTGGGAAGTGAGATGCTTGTCTGTTTAGAGAATCTGCTCTTGTTAAATGACAGCTCCTAAAAGACGTGCCGTTTAAAATCGCCATTTAAAGAGTGTTCCGAAGAATCACATTGCTGGCTACTCTGTTGTGTGGCAATGAGTTCAGTTACTTGAATGACCGTTTAAGGTGGAGAATATGAATTTGGAAACAACGTGGCAAGGTAGGAGGTTCCCAAGGTCCAGTATGGCCAGAGGGACACTTGGAACCTGTGTAGTGGCAGAACAAAATGGATTTCAAGCGAACGATGCCTTTTGAAAATGCCAGTCTTCAGAAGGATTCCTAGAAGGCGGTTATATCCGCTGGTACAGGTTCACCTTCTTCGAGCCCAGGCCAGACGCTTACCTCTACCTGGCGGCAGACAGGAGTCCCTGAACATCCTGCTGTGACTGGGTGATTGCCGAAACCAGCTAAGTCAAGGACATTGGGACCTACCTATCTTTGCGTAGCTTCCTGAGGGGACGTAGGTTAGTAAGTGGTGTCTCGATGTCTTGAGGCAGAAATTCAGGCCTCACCAACACTGGACAGAGGCACCGTCTTCCAGCTAGCTCTCTGGATGAGTTCCAACGGCCTTCACTCAGACCTGGGGCCGGGGCACCCGGGGAGGGATGGGCAGGGGTCTTGCTCATGAGAACTGGGTGCAGGACTCTTTACCTGAGGAAGCAGGCCTAGTCCATGGGAGACGGTGAGGCCTTACTGTAGTTCCCCAAGTGCAAGGCGGGACAGGAGAGCTCGTGAAGCACGAGGCCCGGGTGTTTCATCTTGGCGTCCCCAGCAAGGTGCCCGGCACGCAGGCTCTCAGTAACTCTTACTTGTTCGGAGAGAGCCGGATCCTCCCCTCCTGGGTGCCGAGGGTCCTGGCAGCAGCCCAGAGCCCCTGCTCTTGTACACCAGGTCAGCCACCCAAGGACGCCACTGTGCCTTGGAGACCCAGTTCCAGGAGTATCACTCCCTGAGAGTCATCAGCACATGCTGGAGGCCTCAGCCACATGCAGACCTTCCACATCACGGAGGGATTTTAAGTTTGGTGCAGAGTTTGGAGGGACTTCTTTCTCCCCCTGCCCCCGCTCTGCCCTGGGGCATGAGGGGGTCAGTGTGGTCCCCAGCCCCCTGCCGACTCCCTCTGCCTCACCTCCAGAGCATGGCCGTCCCTGTTTGGGTGGAGATTTTCATTTGGGTAACAGAAGGGAGTCAGATACATCTTTCAAAGGGTGACAAGCCTTTTGGCAGGAATGTATCTGCTGGTCATGGTGGTCACACATGGACCGTGGCCAGCACGAGCGTACTGGACTACAGCAAGTTAACGCGTGCGTTCTGTGGCCGTATGGTTTGAAGTCAGAGACACCGTACCTCCAGCTTTGTTCTTTCTCAGGATTGTTGTGGCTATTCGATGTCCTTTGTGATTCCGTGCAAATTTTAGAATTATTTGTTCTAGTTCTATGCAAAATGCCATTGAAATTTTGATAGGGATTGCACTGACTCTGTAGATTGCCTTGGAGGGTATGGACATTTTAACAATACTAATTCTTCTAATCCATGAGCACAGAATATCTTTCCATTTTTTGTGTTTTCTTCAGTTTCTTTCATCAATGTCTTATAGGTTTCACTGTTTTCACCTCCTTGGTTAAATTTATTCCTAGATATTTTATTCTTTTTGATGCAGTTGTAAATGGGATTGTTTTCTTCATTTTTCTTTTGGATAGTTTGTTGCTAGATTTCTGTATATTAATTTCATATGCTGCAACTTTATAAAATTCACTGATGAGTTCTAGCAGTTTTTTGGTGGTATCCTCAGGATTTTCTATGTATAATATCATGTCATCTGCAAACAGTGGCAGTTTTACTTCTGCCTTTCCAATGTGGATTCTTTTTCTTTTTCTTGTCTGATTGCTGTGACTAGGACTTCCAGTATTATTTTATTTTTTAGAATTGGGGTGTAGTTGCTTTACAATGTTGTGTTAGTTTCTGCTATACAATGAAGTGATTTCAGCTTTATGTATACATATATCCTCTCCCTCTTAGACCTCCCTGCCACCACCCCCCCCCCGCACCCGCCATGCCACCCATCTAGGTCACCACAGAGCACCAAGCTGAGCTCCCTATGCTATACAGCAGGTTCCCACCAGCTCTCTGTTTTACACATGGCAGTGCACATATGTCAGTCCCAATCTCCCAGTTCATCCCACCACCCCTCCCTGTGTCCACACGTCCGTTCTCTGTGTCTTCCAGTATTATGTTGAATAAAAGTGGCAAGAGTGGACATCCTTGTCTTGTTCCTGATCTTGGAGGAATTGCTTTCAGCTTTTCACTGTGGAGAATGATGTTAGACGTGGGCTTATCATATATGGCTCTTACTATGTTGAGATATGTTCCCTCTGTATCCATTTTGTTGATAGTTTTTTATCATAAGGGGATGTTGAATTTTGTCAAATGTGTTTTGAGTATCTATTGAGACGATCATGTGGTTTTTATTCTTCAGTTTGTTAATATGGTGTATCACATTGGTTGATTTGCAGATGTTAAACCATACTTGCATCCTTGGAGTAAATCCGCTTGGTCACAGTGTATGATCCTTTTAATGTATCAATATTTTTGAATTCGATTTGCTAATATTTTGTTGAAGATTTTTGCATCTATGTTTGTCAAGGATATTGGCCTGTAATTTTCTATTTTTGTGGTGTCCTTATCTGGATTCGTTATCAGAGTAATGTTGACCTTGTAAAATGAGTTTGTTTACCCTCCTCTTTAATTTTTTGGAAGAGTTTGAAAAGGATAGATATTAAATCTTCTTTGAATATTTTGTGGAATTCATCAGTGAAGCCCTCTGGTCCTGGGCTTTCGTTTCTTGGGAGAATTTTGATTACTAATTTATTCTCCTTACTAGTAATCAGTCTATTCAGATTTTCTATTTCTTCATGATTCAGTCTTGGAAGATTATACGTTTTTAGAAATTTTTCCATTTCTTCCAGGTTGTTGTTGGCGTATTAATTGTTCTCAGCAGTCTCTTATGATCCTTTCTATTTCTTTGGTGTCAGTTGTAACTTCTTTTTTCATTTCTGATTTTATTGGTTTGGGCCAGTTCTCATTTTTTCTTGATAAGCCTAGTTAAAAGTTTGAGAATTTTGTTTATCTTTTCAAAGAACCAGCTCTTAGTTTCATTGATCATTTCTATTGGTTTTTTTTTAGTCTCTATTTCATCTATTTCTGCTCTGATGTTTATTATTTCCTTTCTTCTACTAACATTGGACTTTGTTTTTTCTTCTTTTCTCTAGTTCCTTTAAGTATAAGGTTGGATTATTTATTTGAGATTTTTCTTGCTTCCTGAGGTAGGCTCATATCACTATAAATTTCCCTCTTAGAACTGCTTTTGCAGTGATCCATAGATTTTGGATCATTGTGGTTCTATTTTCATTTGTTTCTACGTATTTTTAAATTTCTCCTTTGATTTTGTCAATGGTCCATTCATGTTTAATTTCCATGTTTTTGTGGTTTTCCCCAATTTTTCTTTTGATTGATTTCTGGTTTCACACGATTGTGGTCAGAGAAGATGCATGATATGATTTCTACCTTCTTAAATTTATTGAGACCTGTTTTGTAAACTGGTGTGATTAATCCTGGAGAATGTTCCATGTATGCTTGAGAAGAGCGTGTTTTCTGCTGCTTTTGGATGGAATGTTCTGTATGTGTCCATTAAGTCCATTCTCCTCCTGAGTTTGGTGAGCATCGTTTTGACCATTACATTTAACCCTTTATCAGGTAGATTGCTTATCTCCATTTTGTTTAGTTCTTTTTCTGAGGTTTCATCTTGTTTTTTCAATTGGAACATATTCTTCTGCCTCCTCGTTTTGCCTGACTCTCTCTGTGTTTGCCTCTATGTATTAGGTAAATCAGCTCCTTCAGCTCCCAGTCTTGAAGGGGTGGCCTTATTAGGAGATGTCGTGTGGGCCCAGAGGTGCAATCCTGCCTGGCCACCAGAGTCAGGCACTCGAGGGTCCCCTGTGTGGGCTGTGTGCAGTCTCCCGTTGTGGGGGTGCTGCAGCTACTGCTGAGGCATGCTGGTGGGTGGGGCTGGCCTCCGAACGTCCGTGGGCCCAGCCGCAGCAGCTGCTGGGAACTGGTGGGCAGGGCTATTGCTCAGCTGGCCGTGAGGCCTAGCCAAAGTGCAGGGTGGGCGGCGCTTCATCAGGGCATGCCCACTGACACTAACAGGTTAGATGGAGCATTCCAAAATTGCGCCCACCAGCCGGCATTAGCAAGGTAGCCTGAGATCACGGATACGGCTCCCGCCAGAGACTCAGTTCCCAGGGAGCAGCCCACTTGGTTCCCGCCTCTCTGGCAGCTGCTTCAGCGTCAGTAAGTGGGCTGTGAGCTGTTCAGTCTGGTATTCTTGCACTGGTTTTTAGGTCGAGTGAGTCTGCACGTTCAACTCCACTGAGAGCGGGTTTTCCACTCCCTGTGCTTCTGTAGTCCTCCTGGGTATTCTCTGTTGGTTTTCAAAGCCGGGTGTTTTGGGGGCTGGTCTCTCTGAGCGGGATCTAGGGTTGGGGGCTGCGTGTGGAGC